CCCCACCCCCCACCCTGAAATATTGGGTGGCTAATAGCCGTGGCCCCATGTAAAGCTTCAGGAATAAAATAAATGATCTGCCAAAGATGAATCCCTAATAGTATTTCTGGGGCTGAAGAGAGAAGCAGAGGTTGAGGTGATGCTGAACCTACACAGTAACAAGGTTGCTTAAGATACAAAAGCAACTGACTCCACACGTGCATAGGATAAAGCCCCAAGGAAACCTCTGAGTGGGAATTCTGACAAGGCAGACAGCCCAGAGCTGCCGGTGAAGAAGCAGGGCATGGCCTGGGTAACTTATTGTCACGAAGAAGCTGCCTTAAAAAGTGGCCTACACTGCCCACCATCTGGATTCTTACTACCTCCCTCCCAAGCCCAATTGGCAGAGGTGTCCCCTAAGGTAGAACACGCATATGCCAGGCCGGCCCGTGGCTCACTTGGTAGAGTGCGGTGTTGATAACACCAAGGCCACAGGTTCAGATCCTATATAGGGATGGCAGGTTTGCTCACTGGCTGAGCATGGTGCTGACAACACCAAGCCAAAGGTTGAGATCCCCTTACTGGTCATCTTTTTTCAAAAAAAAAAAAAAGAACACGCATATGCCGAAGTGGGTCGATGTCAGCTGAGGATCTGCACTCCAGGATCTTATGCTGGGAACATGAGACTTTTGAAAATATATGAAGGTACTTCAAAAAATTCATGGAAAGAGTCTTATTATCCATTAATTCTGTTTACATGAACTTTTTGAAGTATCCTTTTATAAGGAGATAGTTAAAAAATAAATGAGCAGACAAAACAAACAAAAAACAAGAGATACAAACTCAAGAAATAATGAACAGAGGAAACAGAATTTAAAGGGTACATATTAGAATCCCAGAAAAACTGAAGAGGATATCATTGTCAAACATAATCTAATAATAAAATATAAACACACTGCTATGAAAAAAGTCATAATTCTTCTAAATGAATAAAATGATTGAAAAAGATGATAACCACAAGAAATACCTACTGTGTGTGACTGAGGCACTCAGGCACAGCTGCACAATCTCACACGAGGTAAGTAACTTGTCTCATAGCTAAGTGTCAGGCCACCTTATTCTAAGGCCTGCAGTCAGGAGTTCGGATAGCAAACTGAAAACATGGCTAAGATGGAAGATTGAGGGATTCTCGTAGAAAGCATATTAAAAGGATAGACAAATGGAAGGATAAAAGCCCATCTCAAAGGATTTCCATGAGGACAGTGAAGACAGAATGGAGAGAAAATAATCAAAGAAATAACAGAAAAAAAAAGTTTTCTAGAACTCAAGATTCAGGGCACATTGAATACTAAAAATAGTATGTGAAAAAAAAAAAATCCCAGAAAACACCAAAAACATCAGACAGAAAAGCCAGATTATATAAATAAATGAGAATTATATCAACACAACTACTAATCAGGAATATTGAATACTTGAAGATAATAGAGCACTATCTTCAAATTTGGGAGGAAAAGTAATTGTGAAATTAGAATTCTATACCCAGCCAATCAATTGTTTCACTGGGAGGAAAAAATTAGACACTTTTTCAGACAAGGAAAACCTCAATTACTGAAACAATTACTGTACTGTAGTGTACTGTAGATTTAAAAGAAAAAATAATTAACCAAAACTCTACAACAACAGTATGGAATGAAAGTCCCCCCAAATAAGATATATTCTTAAAAAGCAAGTATTAGCTTCGGGGGGGGGGGGGGGGGA